AACTTATCTAATGTGGAGAGGGGAGAAATATGTATCAAATCAAGCTTAGAGCAATAAAACCCACTGGATTAAGGAGGAGCTGTTGGTTTGTCATCAGGATTATGATTCACATTTTACTTTTAGAAAAAAATATATATACAGTATTTAAACCTCAGGAAAAATTAAAATGTGGAAAATACTGTCTTGCTGAAGGATTTTGCAGTACTGTTATTAATTTCTGTTCATTAGGTAGATACATTCAGGTAACCCATAATCCTCATTAAAAAAAATTAAGTATCTAATACAAGGTACTTCTCTTTGCTCTTTGAGATATATACCTCAACATACACTATTTTCCCCCCACTTGAAACAGACCTCTTCACTTGTTAAAAAAAAAAAAAAAAGTTGGGCAGGCTAATAAGAAAACATGATTTTTAAGAAAAGAAATTTAACTTTAGCTTTTTCACTAGCAAATAGTCACATCTCATTTTCCTCCTCGTAAAATGAGGTTACTACTGGCCTTACCTCATAAAGGTATTCTATAAGAACTAGTTTGTAGCTGTTTCAAATCATGAAGTGCATAATAGTATCATATGTGATAGAATATTTATAACTTTTTATTAGATGCTTAATGTTCAATTAAGTAATTTTGATGCAAAAAATTTAATTTCTATTTTAAATTTATTTTTATAATACTTTATTAACTTATCTAATGTGGAGAGGGGAGAAATATGTATCAAATCAAGCTTAGAGCAATAAAACCCACTGGATTAAGGAGGAGCTGTTGGTTTGTCATCAGGATTATGATTCACATTTTACTTTTAGAAAAAAATATATATACAGTATTTAAACCTCAGGAAAAATTAAAATGTGGAAAATACTGTCTTGCTGAAGGATTTTGCAGTACTGTTATTAATTTCTGTTCATTAGGTAGATACATTCAGGTAACCCATAATCCTCATTAAAAAAAATTAAGTATCTAATACAAGGTACTTCTCTTTGCTCTTTGAGATATATACCTCAACATACACTATTTTCCCCCCACTTGAAACAGACCTCTTCACTTGTTAAAAAAAAAAAAAAAAGTTGGGCAGGCTAATAAGAAAACATGATTTTTAAGAAAAGAAATTTAACTTTAGCTTTTTCACTAGCAAATAGTCACATCTCATTTTCCTCCTCGTAAAATGAGGTTACTACTGGCCTTACCTCATAAAGGTATTCTATAAGAACTAGTTTGTAGCTGTTTCAAATCATGAAGTGCATAATAGTATCATATGTGATAGAATATTTATAACTTTTTATTAGATGCTTAATGTTCAATTAAGTAATTTTGATGCAAAAAATAAAAACATATACTTAAAATACCATAAGAATTTTCATATTTTTAAATGAGGCAGTTTTGTAGTCTCTTAAGATGAAATACAACTGTTCCTGTTTTGTTTTGTTCCTCTTTTTAAACTGAGGCCTTGGAATACTTTGTGTGAATAAGCATATCCTAAGAGTTCAGAAGAGGTTGAAGTATGTTTTCTAACTAAATGCAGTGCACATTCCTGGATCAATTTTCAAAGACTGGTCAAAACCTGCTGTGTTAAAATAATAACATATGCTGTTTTCATCAGATTTACTGATGATGTAAATAAGATGTAAATATATTAGTAAATGTTAATATTCATGTATTTTAAGTTAAGGTTATAAAATTTGTCAAAATGTGATTTTTTTTATTCAAGTGAAAACAGATGTGTGCAGCTATTTTGAATATTGGTTTATAAACATTCATATTCTTTATCAAATGAACTTGTAGTTTTTTTGTGTTTCATTCTACTACATTTAGCCTGAAAAGAATCTAGGACTGTCTGGCTTCAAGGCCTATGTGTATCCTTTTCTCTTATGCTATATACATTAAATAGCAGAACAAAGTTAGAGCTGATTGATATCTGTAGGAATTTGGGAGACAAAATGAGAATAGTTACTCTGGCGTAGTTACTTAAAAGATCTGATGTTTTTTTAAAATTATAAAGCAAAATAACACAATTTGAAGGTATTTTAAAGGATTTATTTGATAAATTATCCTTCATCACACTTTCCTAACAGTAAATTGCTCTTTCGTCTTTGCTTATTCATATAAATTTTCATATTCCTGAATTCCTTTTTTTTTTTAAAAAAAGAGATTTTTGCTATAGGGTGCATGCACTTGCCAGAGACACAGAGACAGATGGAAAGCAAGAAATCACCCCCCCCAGGGGGTGGCCATGGCCGTGTTGCTTTGGTTACTCATGCACACATGCCAGTGTGAGGCTTTTTAAAAAAATATTCTTTTATTTAACTTTATTTATTTATTAATTTTTATTTTGACCAGAAAGGGACAGAGCAAGTAGAGAGAATGTGAGAAAGCAACTGCCAGGTCTGCAACTCGAACCGTGGTCAACCATGTGGGAATCCAGCATCCTTAACTACCATGCCACCTGCTGGCCTGCCAGTATGAGTTTTACGTAGGCAGGTCTGGGACTTGAACTGTGGCTGACTACATGAGAGTCCAGCAATGAAACCATTATGCCATCCACTGGTCTTGAGTATGCTTTAAAAAAAAAAAAAAAGATTTATTTAACTTTATTTATTCATTCATTTATTTTAATTTGACCAGAGAGAGACAGAAAAAGAGAGAGAGGGAAAGAAAGTGAGAAAGCAAGCCACCAGGCCTGGGACTCAGAACCTTGGTCAGTTATATGGGAGTGTCCAGCACCTTAACCACCATGCCACCTGCTGGACCGAGTCTGCTATTTTCAATCAGTTTTATATGATTTTTTTGTCTTGAAATTATTTTTTTATAATTTATTGGCTTCATAATCTATTGAAATTGATACGTTATAACCACCTTCCCATTACTACATTGGAAAGTTTATAATTTTTCCCAGTATTACAATAGACACCATTAATGTATTACTTTTTCTTTTAGATTGTCTTTAGGATAAATTTCTGGGATTAAGATTACTAGGTCAAAGGGTAAAGTTTATTTTTTAATTTTATTTATTTTTTTGAAGAGGTTTTTTTTTACTATAGGGCACATGCGCTCCCCAAAAAGACAGAGAGACAGAAAGCAAGAAATCACCTTCCAGTGGGGATGGCCCTGCCACAATCCCTTCTCCCCCATTCTCTTCTCTGGATCTTGGGCACACAGGCACACGTGCCTGGCGTGAGTTTAAGCCACCAGGTCTGAGACTTGAACCACCGTTGAATACATGGGAGTCCAGCAACATAGCCATTACACAATCTGCTGGTCCCAAGGGGTAAAGCTTATTTTTATGGCTACAAGTTTTGTCATTTTCAGAGGATACAATAAAACAACCGAAAGTGAGGCAAGCCAATCAACTAGCCCTCTCCTCTTTCCTCTTCCCAGCATGCCTCCATCCTTAAACTAAGTACTTAAATTTTAGGTTTTCTTTTTTTGAGAGAGAGATTTTCGCTATAGGGCGCGTGCGCTCGCCAGACAGAGAGACAGAAAGCAAGAAAACACCCTCCGGGGGGGATGGTCACGCCGCAATCCCTTCTCCATTCTCTCGGGATCCTGGGCACGCACGCACACGCACCCGGCGTGAGTTTTAAGCCACCGGGTCTGGGATGCGAACCGTGGTTGACTACGTGGGAGTCCAGCGACATAGCCATTATGCTAACTGCTGGTTTCCTAAATTTTAGGTTTTTAAAGAATTATTTAACTTCATTTATGTATGTTAATTTGACCAAAGAGAGAAAAAGAGAGGAAGCAAGCTGCCAGGTTCAGGATTGGAACCATGGTCAGCTCCGTGGGAGTCCAGCACCCTCAACCAACTGGTCACCTGCTGGCCCGAATTCTACAATTTTTAAAAAAGAAACAATTTGGTGGGATCATGCATAACCTCCTCTGTATGGAAATTCATGTGCACTTAGCAATGAAGAATAAATTGGTGCTAGGAGGGATGTAAGGCTGTTAAGTCTTAAGGGAGTTAGAAGTGATTTGATAGCAAAACTCCACAGTTGATGTCAGTATCTGAGAAAGGCCTGAATATTATGAAATATTGTAGTCAGCTGTCATAGAGCCTTCTTGCCTAGGTTGGCTCTGTAGTGGGGCAATTCCTCAGTCATTTCTTCCATACCTTGGCTACTATAAAATGGAAATTGAAGTTGGCTCTGATGCATGCTCAGGGAACTTGGCAAAGCCTAAAGATGTCTCCTCTCCAGTTCCCAAGGAATTTGCTGCCTGGACAGTTTCCAAACTCAAACGGAAAAGATGTTTTCCTTTTTTTTCTTTTAAAATCCAACTTAATTTTATTTCTATGCATATAAAAATAAGCACTATAGTATTAGAAATTACTGGGTTTGGGGGCTAGCAGGTGGCGTGGTGGTTAAAGCAGCTGGACTCCCACATGGCTGACCACAGTTTGAATCCCGGACATGGGAGCTTGCTTTCTCACTTTCCTTCTCTCTCATTGTCTTTCTCTGGTCAACTTCAAAAAATAAAATAAATGATTGGTTTTGAACATAAAAAAATGTTATTTTACTATTCAGGCTGAATTTAAGTCCTTACGTTTTCTTTTTGAAGAATTACTTAATTTTCTTTTAATTTTTGTTTTATACATTTACTCACCACATCACTTTGCTTTTTTAAGTTGAATTTACCCAGTATAAATTCACTTCACACCAGTCCACTTGAGGATACTAGACACATTATCATCAACGACAATAACCTATTTCTGTGACCTATAAACATCCTGCTTCTCTATTTTCCTCCAAAGACGCTTTCCTTTGAAAAGAAGCGGGGAGATCTGCTTGACTGCTTCACTCTTCCGGTGCCGCGGAGTACCACGGGTCTGTTTATTTCCGAGGCTTCCATTGGGTACCAGAGTCCTGGCGCCGGGATTGGTTGAGTGGTTTCTGGTCTTGGCGCGTGGTTGGCTGTCTGGACGCGCGCGGGAATTGGACAGCAGGCGCGGAGGGGCGGGAGGCGGGAATTCGTCCGGGCTTGTGGAGCGGTCCGTCGGGCGCCGGACCCGAGGCTACGTAGAGCGGTTGCGAGTCTGCGACCCGGCCGGGGCGGCTGCCGGGTGAGGAAGAGCGAGCCGGGGCAAAGCTCTTGCTCTTTTCTGCCAGGACCCCGTTTTATTTGCCTCCAGACCTTGGTTTCCATTTTCTCGCGTGAACCAGTCCAGGCTGCGTTGCTCGGGTTTCCCCCGGGATTGACAAGGCTGAGGGAAGTAAAGGGAAGGGCGCGAAGCCTGCCGCAGGTGCGTCCTACTTTGGCCCAGCTGCCTTACAGGCCCGTCGGGGCTGCCTGGATCACCCAGGCCTTGGGGAGCTCGCCTGACTGGGAGGAGGGAAGGGCAGCCCGGGGGAGCCCAGGAGAAAAGGAGGCTGCACTTCGCGGCGGGAGGCGGCGGCGTGACGAGTTTGCTGGTCCGTCTGCTGTGTGAGGGAAAAGGCCTCGTTTCGAGAGGGATGTTCCCACAGCTCGGCAGGGGCCAGGGATTGATTTTTAGGGTGTATCTGAGTAAGTGGGCCAGCATGGAGTTGATTGGTTATATTAGAAACCTCATTCTCGGAGCTTTGCACAAAACGCTAGCCCTGGAAAATACCTTCGAATAGTGGTTCTTAACTTCTTTTGGAACACACAAGACGTGGTTAAAGTTTTTATTGGCTTTATAATCTATCAAATTATTTTAACCATCTTTTCATCTCCTGATTGAATTTACCACTTTTTCATTATTGTAATAATTCCTCAGTCGATAACAATGTATATAATTTTGCTTCTGTTTTGATTTCCCAGGAAATATTTATGGGAAGAGAAATGTATGGATTTTCTCTTGAGAAAAATGCAGTTATGCACAGATTTTTTAATTTTTTTTGAGAGGTTTTTGCTATAGGGCGTGTGCGCTCAACAGAAAGAGACAGAAAGGGAGAAATTACACACACACCCGGGGGGATGACCAGCCACAATCCCTTCTCTATTCTCTCGGGGTCTTGGGCACACACGTACACATGCCCGGCGTGGGTCCGGGACTCCAGGCGCAGTTGGCTACATGGGAGTCCAGCGACATAGTCATTACGTCAACTGCTGGTCCCAATGCACAGAAATTTTTGTGTGCAATTTCAAGAGGTCACAGTCTGAATTATTATATTTATGGATCCTAGGTTAAGAAAACTGGTTTAGAAGAGGTGGGGACTAAAGTGGATCTTCTATTCTGTGTCAGATACTGGTTTAGGAACATTCTGTCCTGGTTAAATTTTATAAAAACTCTTTAGGGTAGATATTATTTTCTCATTTCCATAAATGAAGAAACAGGTTCTGAAAGGTTAAGGGATTTATACAGTGGAATTCAAACTATGATTGTTTTAAAATTTTTTAAAGAATTATTTACTTTTATTTATTCACTCATTTATTTCAGTTTGATCAGAGAGAACAGAGAGAGAGACAGAAATTGAGAGAGCAAGCCACCAGGTCCAGGACTTGAACTGTGGTTGGCCATGTGGGAGTTTTCCAGCCCTTAACCACCACACTACCTGCTGGCTCCCTAGGATTGTTTTACTTTACAGCTCTTCTTCTTTCCATTGTGTCATATTGGCCTTTAAGTAAGAATTGTTGAACACCTGTTTTGTGCCAAGGCATTTTCTTCCTTACAAATCTTTAAATTAGGGATTATTATAGATAAGGATCTTAGAATAGAGAAATGAAAAGACATGTCAAAGGTAACATATCTGAGTCCCTGTTAAAACCTGATTTAGATCCAGTGCTTCCTGACTCCTAGTCTATAGCTTTTTCCTCTTAACTGGAGGATTGCAGAAGAGGGAAATAGGAGGGCACAGAATAGGAGGAGAAAAAGAGTAGTGCTATAGAGCTATAGAGAGTTGCCTCAGGAACCTATTTATTTCTATAGGTTGATTATATCTGATCTAAATTGTTACAGGAGTCCATGTTTAATTGGGTAAATACTGTATCACTTGTGTGGTTTTTCCTTTAATTGTAACAAGAGTCCTCTGGGATAGATAGTATTATTCCTTATTTTGCAGATTAGGACACAAAGATCCAAAGATATTAAGTTCAAAGTCACAGACTGGTACCTGGCAGTGTAGGGATGCAAGTCTAGATTTGTTAGATTCTAAGACATGCTAATTTAAGTTTTTATTTCCAAATGTCTGTCTCTGTGTTGGTGTCTGTTTTTTCCAGAATAATTTTCCATATCTATTACAGTTAGGAATCTGAAGTAAACAAGAATGCAAGATGTCTTCAATGTGGTCTGAATATACAATTGGAGGAGTAAAGATCAGCTTTCCTTGTAAAGCTTACCCATCCCAGCTTGCTATGATGAATTCTGTAAGTATTTCTCAGCAGTGAAGTCTTTACAGATACCTATACTCTATATAACGTACACTGAGTATGTGATTGTATTCATATTCTCAGATGGTAAATGGATTGAGAATATTTGCTCGGTTCATTTGGAGAACATGATTCTGGTCACTACTAAACATGGTATGGCTATGGTTAAGAGGCAAGGAAGAACAGTCTGAAACAGTTCTCAGCTCATTAGAATTTTCTTTTACTTTAATGAATGACTGTCATTTGCAAAGTACATTATTTCCTGTATTTTATATAGAATGTTATATTTCTCACCATTATGTGTTTTTTAAGTATTTATTTTATTTTTTTAGTTGTTGGAGAGCATGTGCTTTAGCCAGAGAGAGATAGAGAGGGAGAAAACATCTCCCTGTTGGGTCATGGTCATGCCTTAGTCTTATCTCCATTCCTCAGTCTTGTTGGGATTTTGGGTCTGCATACCATGTACTGGGCATGTTTTTCAATCCACTGGGGTCAGAGCTTGAACCACATTTGACAATGTGGGATCCAGCTTCCTTAACTAGACTATGGGGTGGCCCTTGAAGTTTATCAGCCATGTTGAAAATATATAAGTTTGAGTAAATCAACATTCTTCTTCTTCTTCCTTTTTTTTTTTTTTTTTTTTTTTTTTTAAATTGACTTGAGAGCATGTGTACCTGTTAGAGAGAGAGAGAGGAGGAGGGAGAAAGCACACTACAGTGGGGTGTGGTTATGCTGCAGTCCTTTCTCCTCCATCTCTTTATCCTGTCATAATTTTGGGGACCCACATACATATACCCAATGCATTTTTCAAGCTATGAGGGATGGGATTCAAACTGTGTCATTGGTTCATTGGCCATATGGGATATGGCTTTGTTAACCGCTGAGCTATGGGTTCCCACTGTGGCCAACCGTGTAGGACTCTAGCTCCCTTAACAAGACCAACCCATCTAGCCATATTTTAATACTTTTATTACATGTGGATATACCCATGAACAACATAGAATATTATTTTACTTTCTTTTCAAGTTTTTACCATAGGGCACATGCACTTGCTGAAGAGACAGAGGAGACAGAGAAAAAGTGAGACATCACCCCTGAGGGGAGATGGCCATGCTGCAGTCCTTTCCCCTCCATTCTCCTCGTGGGATTTTGGGCACGCACACGCACATGTACCTACACATCATGATGTAGAAGGACTTTCTGATAAAAATTTCCTGGGCATTTTTTCTGCTTAAGTTTTGATAGACTTTCTCAAAATATTCTCATAATAAGAGGATGTTATCATTCTTTGGCACTCTAGCAAATCAATAGGCAAAATACCCTTAGCATCCCAAAAAACTGTCCCCATGACTTTTGCTCTTGACCAGCTGCTTTTGCTTTGACTTACCACTTTCGCTGCTTGGTAGCCATTGCTTTGATTGTGCTTTGTCTTCAGGATGTACTGGTAAAGCCATGTATCCCCTATTACCAGATTTCAGGATATTGATCCCATCAAAAGCTCTACTTTTTGTCTGTAGCCCATCTGAATACAACAGTTTTGGAACTTGTTGACCAGAAAGTTTGCTCAGTTTAATTTTTTTAGTCAGAATTGTATAAGCTGTACCTAGAGTGACCTAAAGTGTGAGAAGAATTTGAAATTAACCATTAGAGTGTGTATGCATGTGTTTGGGTATATGTGTGTATGTATGGGGGTTTTCACACATACACCTTTTTTTTTTTTTTTTCATACAGCACGTATATGTTCACTGAGAGAGACAGAGAGAAAGTGAGAAATCACCTCCCAGTGGGGATGGCCATCTATAATTCCTTATCCATTCTCCTCTCGGGATTTTGGGCAGGTATGCACACATGCCCAGTGTTATTTTCAAGCCATGACGTCTAGGACTCTAACCATGGTTGGCCATATGGGAGCCCAGTGCCTTAACCACTATACTACCTGCTGCCACCTCCCCACCCCCAACACATATATTTATTTACTTATTTTTAACATTTTATTTAATGTTAGTATTTTAAAATTTGCTACAGGGCACATGCGCTTACCAGAGAGAGAGAAGGTGAGAAAGCAAGCTGTCAGATCTAGGACTCAAACCATAGGCCATGTGGGATTCTAGCACCTCAACCACCAGACCACCTGCTGGCCCCAATTTCTTTTTTTTTAAGAGAGTAATTTTTGCTATAGTACGTGTGCACTTGCCAGAGACTCAGAGAGAATGCAAGAAATCATGCCCTAGGAAAGATGGCCATGCCACAATCCCTTTGCTTTTATTCTCTTTTAGGGATCTTGGACAGTTATGCATGTGCAGGCACCCAGCATCAGTTTCAAGTCACTGAGTCCAGGACTTGAACTGTCTTACCTACTTTGACACTGGCCCCTAACATTTTTAAAAGGAAATGTTTATGTTGTGAGATGTTACAATGTTGCCTATTTTGCTGTTAATTCAGTCCTCTTTAATTGGGCACTAACAAGATTAAATTTTCTCCACAAATTGATGTTGATGATCTGCCACTAAAGCATTCATCTTCAGTATTGTCTCATCCCTTCTTAAAACAAATTGTGTTTGTAAACTGCTGATTTCTTCAGAGCTTTGTCTCACTTTTTGTAAAGCATAAGCAATTTTACCATTCTTTTACCCAAGCTTCACCATAAATTTGATGTTTATTCTTGCCTCAATTTCAGCAGAATTTATGATGCTCTGATAGGAGCTTTTTTCAAACTGATGTCTTAATCTTTTTTAGTGTCTCAAACTAGATCCTGTTGAGACTTCTTAGTATGAATTTATTTTGGAGCAAATAAAGTTTGAAATTCACGTGTTGTGTTTTTTTGGGTGGGCGGGGGGAGAGCTTTTTGCTATAGGGTGCGTGTGCTCACCAGAAGGGCAGAGAGAGACAGTCAGAAAGCAAGAAATCACCTCCAGGTCACCTCCTGGGGCGGATGACCACACTGCAGTCCCTTCTCCTCCACTCTCCTCTTGGGATCTCCACTTGGCACATGCATATGTGCCTAGCGTGATTTTAAGCCACTGGGCCTGGAACTCAAACCGAAGTTGACAACATGGGAGTCCAGCAATGTAGCCATTACGCCATCTGTTGGTCCCACATGTAGGACTTTTTTTTTTTTTTTAATGAACTTTTTGAAGATCCCTCATATTTCTGATTGAGAGAAACCTTAGGTAAAATGCTTATTGATTTTTTTTTTTAATTGGTTCTTGTGTTCATAGATTGTCCGAGGATTAAATGGTAAGCAACACTGTTTGCTGGAGAGCCCCACAGGAAGTGGAAAAAGCTTAGCTTTACTTTGTTCTGCATTAGCATGGCAACAGTCTTTTAGTGGTAAGTAGTTACTTGATACCTTCAGATTGTTTATTGGGACTTGAGAAAAGTATAATAAAATAATCTTTATCCAGACTGGTTCAACCATGTTTTAGCTAATTTATACACCCTATTTTAAGATGTTTCTTTATAATAAGTTTTGTATCTTCTGAAAGAGTTTTAATATGCAGAATATGTTTAATTATTTTTTACTTTAAAACAGTATTAAACATAATTTAGTCTTTGGTTTGAAGATTCAAATAAATGAAATTTTTTTCTTGGAGAGGTTTTTGCTATAGGGCGCATGCAGAAAGACAGAAAGTGAGAAATCACCCCCCAGAGAGGATGGCCACACTGTAACCCCTTCTCCTCCATTCTCCTCTTGGGGTCTTGGGCATGCATGCGATTTGCCCAGCGTGAGTTTAAGCCACCTGGTCTGGACCCAAACCGCGGTCAACTACATGGGAGTCCAGCGACATAGCCATTATGCCAACTGCTGGTCCCTCAAATAAATGAAGTTATGGGTTATCATTATGAAAGTAATTAGATGTTAGCTTGTATGTAAAAGAAGTAACAGATAGGATTGTAATGATTTTATAATATGCTAATTGGTTTTTCTTTTTTGAGTAGATCCTTTAGTATATTTACTTATCTGTGCCTTCCTCATAACATTATTACATGGAATATATAAAGAAAACATTTTAGTTGACCTTTTTATTTATTTGGAGGCCAGATAAACAGAAGTTTACTGTAATATTGCTTGTATGAATGCATATTATTTCTCACTACTTTTACTTTATTTGCTAGCAAATACCTGTTAATATTTACTTTTATGAAAGGCTATATAATTTGCATAATCTGAAATAGTACTGGACACATTTTAGTTATGTAAGTAGATAGTGTGACCTAAAGTATTAGAAAAATTTCAAGTTAACCATCAATGTGTGTTTGGATATGTATGTATTAGGTTGTCTGAAAAGTCATGAAGTATTTTTCTGATTTTCTATGCAAAAATGGGTCATGACTTTCCTGACAACCCAATATATGTATGTCTGTATGAGGATTTTCACATGTGTGTCTGTGTGTATGTGTGTACATGTATATACATATACTTTTTTCTTTTTTTTAAAGATTTTTGCTGGGACCAGCAGATGACATAATGGTTACGTTGCTGGACTCCCACGTAGTCAACCACAGTTCTAGTACTAGACCCTGTGGCTTAAAACTCATGCTGGGCATGTCTGTGTGCATGCCCAAGATCCCAAGAAGAGAATGGAAGAGAAGGGATTGTGGTGTAGTCATCCCCTCTGAGGGATGATTTCTCACTTTCTATCTCTCTGTCTCTCTGGGGAAGCGCACATGCCCTTGAGAAAAAAATCTCTCTCAAAAAAAAAAAAAAAAAAAGATTTTTTTCCATAGGGCATGTATCTTGCCAGAGAGAAATAGAGGGAAATTGAGAAAGCACCCCCAGGGAGATGGCCACACCTCAGTCCCTTCTCCATTCGCATCAGGATTTTGGATATGCATGCACATGCACCCAGTGTGATTTGTAAAACCACCAGAGTCTAGGACTCAAACTGTGGTGAGCCATGTGAGAATCTAGAGTTTTAACTATCATGTCACCTGCTGGCCCTACACATTCTTTTTGTTTTTAACAGAGATTTTTGGTATAGGGTCTGTGTGCTCTCCAGAGAGACAGAGAGCCAGTAAGTGAGAAATCACCTCCCGGGGGGGATGGCCACACTGCAATCCCTTCTCCTCCATTCTCCTCTCAGGATTTTGGGCATGCATGTCTGGCATGAGTTTTAAGTCACCAGGTCTAGGACTAGAAACATGGGTCGACTATGTGGGAGTTCAATAACTTAACCATTACTCCATTTGCTGATCCTTACACATACATTCAAAATGAATTATTTCTTTATTTTATTAATTGTTGTTATTATTTTAAGCCTGCTGTGGGGCACATGTGCTCACCAGAGAGAGAGAGAGAGAGAAGGAAAATGAAAAAAGAAGTCACTGGGTCCAGGACTTGAACTATGGCCAGCCATGTGGGAGTCCAGTGCCTTAACCACCATGTATCTCGCTAATTCCTATACATATGTTTTTAAAAGGAAATGTTTGTTTTAGTGAGAATAATAAAGTAAATATAAAAAAGTTAGTATTTATAGTTTTTGGTTCATTTTGATTTTTATTGATTAACATCAATAATGGGGAAAATTAAGATTGTCAGTTAGTAAAATTTTAATGACAACTGTCCAGAAAATACAAGTATTTACTTGGTGTAATTGGGAAAACAATGTCTTTACTATTTAAAAAAAATTTTTTTCAGAGATATTTGCTATAGGGTGCATGTACTCATTGGAGAGACGAGGAGAGGCAGAGAGAGGCAGAGAGACAGAACGTGAGAAGTCATCCCCCCTCAGACAGGCTAGCCATGCTGCAGTCCCTTCTCCTCTATTCTCCTTTTGGGATTTTGGTCACACACAAACACACGCTTAGCATGGGTTTCAAGCCTCTGGGTCCAGGACTCGACAGTGGTTATGGGAGTCTAGTGCCTTAACTACTACACTACCTCCTGGCCCCCATACTATTTATTTTAAAAGATACATTGTTTCACTTTTTTCAATATGTATGAATTGTATATTTGTATACAATGTAGGCATATAATTGTAAAGTTATTACAGTTCTATATTTAGGTATCGAAATTACCTGTTTTTTGAACATTGATCCTAAAATGTATTTTGATACATGTATCAGAATTGATATAACATAAAATATGCTTATTTGACATCAGAATAAAATGCCAGGCTGGGGCCAGTAGGTGGCATAGTGGTTGAGGTGCTGGATTCCTACATGGCCAACCACAGTTCAAGTCCCAGACTTGGCAGTTTGCTTTTTTACTTTCCCTCTCTCTCTGGTCAAATTAAAAAAAAAATAATAACAAGAAATAAAATTAAATAAATAAAAAATATTTAAAAATGTATAATATAGAGAATTATTCAACCCTTATGTGTTTACATTATTATTTAATATATTGAACTTTCAAATCCTTCATTTAGGGAAATAGAAATTAAGAATATACTTTAGATTTTGGACCAGCAGGTGACATAGATGTTAAGGCTCTAAATCCCATATGGCTAGCTGTGTGGTTCAAGTCCCAGACCCAATGACTTGACAACCACACCAAGTGCCTATGTATGTGTGCCCAAACTTTTGAGAACTGGAGGAGAAGGGATTGTGGCATGGCCAACTTTCCTGGGGGGGGGGTAATTTCTCACTTACCTTCTCTCTGTCTCTATTGAGCACATGTGCCCGATAGCAAAAAAAAAAAAAAAAAAAAAAAGAAAAGAAAAAAAAATGTTGGTCTTTATTTCAATCCTTGCTTTATTTATTTATTTATTTATTTATTTATTTTTGTGGAGAGTTTTTTTTTTTTTCACTATAGGGCACGTGCGCTCGCCAGACAGACAGAGAGAGAC